GATAGATAGATAGATAGGAGGAAGGAAGGTAGGTAAAAAACCTCAAGGCAAAAAAGTAGATGAACAGAAACAGGTTAAATTATAAGAGATAGCAAAAAAAAAAAAAAATACAAAAAAAAAAAAAAAAAAAAACAAGCATAAGATAAAGCCGAGCATTCATTACTAATATTAAGTCTCTGTGTCATGATTTGGGTGGGAGCTGGTTGGTGGCCCAAAAGAAAAAGGCCATGGTGGAATGAAGAGGAGGCAGGACAGATGGACAGACACACAGATCTAGCTTCAGAGAAGGTAGAGCCAAAGAGCACAAGAAAAACTGCCCATTAGCTGGCTCCAGGCACTAGATATCAACCAACGGGAGATCAACCAACTAAAGTCTTTGGGAACTCATCACACCTGCTGATCCCCACCCCCACCAGAACAAATGTTGATTTGCACCAAAAAAGGGGTCACAGGCCTATTCCAATCTGGAGTTACAAGAGTATGGGTGTAAGGGGTTACTTATAGGAGTGTGGGTGAATCAAAGGGAGCCACATCACTGAAAAGCCCACCCCAATATAGATGAGAACTCACAAAAGCTGCATTTCTGGAGCTCTCTGCACAGCTTGCAGGCAGCTCTGACCATGAAGAGTTTCCTCTCCCCAACAACTATTACTGTTAATATGACCATGAGGAAGTGGCCACACTGAATAAATCTCTTCTCTGCTTTTCACTATTGCTTGTCTCTTGGTCTATTGGAGATAACTGATAAAGTCTAGTTTGTTGGGGCTTCCAGAGCTAGATTTTTACCCTAAGAAGGCTCATTTACCAAATAGGAGATAGGTGGAAGAGGAGGTGTGCCCTTGAAGAAGACAAAGAAGACATCTTGATTCTAACCACCCCGCACCCCCTTTGCTTCCAGTTGCCACAAAGTGAGCAGCTTTGCTCCACCACATGCTCCCCACCGTAACGTTCCGACACACCCAGAAACAACAGGGCCAAGTAACCAAGCACTGGAACTTTGGAAGCCCTGGCATAGGTATTTTGTCCTAGTGTCAGAAACAGGTCTTCCCACAATGCTGGGGTTGAGGGGTTATGGGCAGAATGCACAGAGAACTGATTCTGGCCAAGCATGCCTGAGAAATCTTAAAAGGCACACCTGAAAGGACCAACATGCTTCCAAATGATGTGACTGCCTCAGAACAGAACTCAAGAATATAGAACTGGTTGTGGTGGCACACACATTTGATTCCAACACTGGGGAAAATGGGGGAGGGGATTTTTTGACAGTTTAAGGCCAGCCTCAACTTCATAGCAAGCTCCAGGTCAGCTGAAGTGGGTTGAATAAGAATGTCCCCCATAGGTTCATATATTTGAATGCTTAGTCATCAGGGGTGGAACTACTTGAGAAAGAGGAGGTGTGGCTTTGTTGGAGGAAATATGTCATTGGGGGTGGGCTTTGAGGTTTCAAAACCCATACCAGGCTTGGTCTCTCTTGCCTGCGGTCTCTCTCACCTGCGCTCTCTCTCTCTCTCTGTGTCTCTCTCTGTCTCTCTCTCTCTCTCTCTCTCTCTCTCTCTCTCTCTCTCTCTCTCTCTCTGCCTACAGTTCAAGATCTAGCTCTTAGCTCCTTCTTCAGCACCATGCCTGCCTGCTGCCATGCTCCCTGCCATGATGATAATGGACTATAAAGCTACTGAAACTGTAAGCAAGCCCTCAATTAAGTGCTTTCCTGTATGAGTTCCTTCATCACCGTGCCTCTTCACAGCAATAGAACAGTGACTAAGACACCAGTAAAGGCTGCTCAAAGAGATTTTTGTCTCAAACAACAACAACAAAAACAAAAAGAATACAGACCAGACCTGACAGTATAATGTACAGGCTGATGCTGCAGACTGTAAAATTTACTATGTGCACCTATTTTCCCCTACAGAATGTGCTTAAACAATAAAAAAGATTAAAATAATCTTTTTTGAAATAAAGATTAAAATAAACATTTTATAAAATTAACTGTGAAATTTTTTAAAGAAAGAAAAAGAATTGTGGGGTCTGGCAAGATGTCTCAGTTGGTAAAAGCACTTACCTCAAAAGCCTGACAACCAAAATTTGATTCCTGGAATGTATATAAAGGTAGAAGGAAAAACTGACTCCACAAAGTTGCCCTCTGACCTTCACCCCATGCCCTGGCAAGTGCATGTCCTCAATCACACACACAATAGTAGTGAACTAAATTTTTTTAAGTAAATGAGAAACTGGACATGATGGTTCATGTCTCTAATCCAAGAGACAACTCAGGAGGCAAAGGCAAGTGGAGCTCTATGAGTTTAAGGCCAACATAGTCAACATGAAAAAATATTATCTCAAAAAATATGCAATGGTTGTACAATTGTTATAGAAATAATTGTTGTTTGAGTTTCTCTTGCCCCACCAGGTCTCTCCCTGCCTACCTTTCCCAGAATTCTCCTAGTCCCACCTATCTTCCTGCCTCTATTGGCCAAACTGTTTTATTCATCAACCAACAAAAGAAACATACATACAGAAGGACACCCCTCATCAAATAATCAAACATTTTTTAAATTGGATCTAAGGTCGACTCCATCAAATGGAACACACACGACACTGCTAAAGTGGCCAATAACCTGAGATTGAATAAGTCATATGCCTAGGTGGAAGTCTACTATTATTATTCTGCTAAAGGAACATATAATAGGGCCTGGAGAGATGGCTAAGTGATTAAGAGCTTTTTCCGGAGGACCCAGGTTTAATTCCCAGTACTCACCTGGCAGCTCACAACTGTCTGTAACTCCGTTTCAAGATCTGACACCCTCACACAGACATACATGCAGGCAAGACACCAATGCACATAAAATAAAAAATTTAAAAAGGAACATACGACAAAATGACTACTAATGACACAGTGCTACACTCATAGAGCAGGGAGGGCATCATCCAGCCCACATCAGAGCAGCTTCTTCTTCCAGTACATATTAATTAACAAGGAGATCTAAAATTAGACAATATGCAGAGAGATTTTGGAGCAGTCAGCCTTGAATGGGATGTTGTTTGCCAAATCCATCCTCTCAAGGCTCAGGAACCTATACAGGAGAGAAGACAGAAAGACCATGGGAGCCAGAAGTGGTGGATGACTCCAAGGAAACAGTATCTTCCAGAAACACCCAGACTGATGGCATTGAACTCACAGAGATTCTGACAGCATGTATGAGACTGGTACAGATTCAAACCAAATCCCAGTATTGAAAAGAGGAAGTGGACACAAAGTCCTATGTCTAGCAAAGAAGCTATTTGCAATTGAAACCTGCCAGGAAAAAGGAATGTTAGCTTTCTCCAGTGGAGTATATATAAGTGGGTATATCTACCACACACCAGAGCAGGCTTCATGCCCAGGAGTAGTTGGCTAACACAAAATGGACTCCACAGTTTTCGTCCTAATTTTTGTTTTATTTTGGCATTTTTTTCTCTTACTGGTTTGCTTTTATGTTTAAGTTGATTTTGAATTTTTGTTCTTGTTACTTTGTTGTTTTTTTCTGTTTTGTTTTTGTTTTTGTTTTTGAGATAAAGGAAACATGAAGTTAGGTGGGTAAGGATGTTGGAAGGGTCTAGGAGGAGTTGAGGGAGAATGTTACCCAATGCATTATATAGAAAAATAGGAAACAAATTAACAAATATAAATAGTAAATGCTGCTTTTGTGTTCTAGGACGTTAATCAGACTTGATTTCCTAAATCAATCTCAGATATATTCTAACTTCCAGGCTGGGTTTTCTTTCAGAAAGAGGCTGTGGTGCCAGTTTGCTCTGCAGCTTAGGAGAACATTTTGTTGTTGCTGCTGTTTTAAACCAGAAGAGCAGTTAGGTTTGGGGACAAGAATTACCAGGAGCAAGGGACTCATCCCTCAGCCCCACCCTTCCCTAGTGAAAGAATACTCAGTCTTCCAGAACGAGAGCGATTAGGGGGTCCCCACCCTGCTTGTCCCAGTCAGGGGAAGGTTGCATCACCAGAGACCCTCTCTGGGTGGCCTTTCGTGAATCTGCATCAGCGATTCAGCAAATACAGGTCACCAGAAGACCATGCACCCAGCATCTAGTTAAGGACTCAAGGCTTTGAGCAATCTGAGGTGCTTGCATCCTAACCTGCATCTTAGCTGCATCTAAGGCTAGTAAGAGGTCTGCCTCCACCATCTTCCCTTGGCCTCTGCCTTTGGGGCCTGGGACACATCTCTCCAGCCTGTTACTGGTCCAAGCTGGGACGCAAGGGCAGCCCTCGAAAGTTTTTAATGGCCCAGAGAATGTTTAGAGGCTCCAGAAGCCCAAAGAGAGACCTGAGACTAAAGATAAAGATACCACAACTCTGCCTCGAGGGATCAGAAAGCAGAATCTTCTTGGTCACACTCGAACTGCAGAGTGCAGAGAGAACGCTATAACTAAAATAGTCGTGAGCCACTTTCTCAGCAAGAAAAGCAGCAGCCAGCCCCATTACACCCCACACCACTGTAGGAGGTGCGAGCCCCCGTAACTGCGCTCTGCCTAAGTGGTTATTCTCGAGATCTGAGCATGGTCAAGAACTGATGCTAGACGGTGGCTACACCATACGCGCCCGCGCGCTGACCAGCTGTCCAGTCCTCCGTTTCAGGAAGCTGAGGCCATCTCTTCATCCGTGCCTGTGTTCCCCCTCAGTCTTTCGCGCAGGAGGAGCTCCCCTACAGAGCGGCAGTAGGGCCAGAAAGCTTGATGTGGGTGCGACAATGCCACCCCAGGTCTTGGGGCACTCAGTTCCCAGGCAGTGGTCCCGCCCCTCTCCGTCAGTCCCGCCCCCCCCCCCAAAGCAGTGAATCCAACCCGCACAGAGGCCCGCACATTGGCTGAAACCACCATTGGGTAGCGGTGCATGAAAGCGCCGCCACCTTTTTATAGGGGCTCCAGAGCCATCTAGCCCAGGGTCCTGGCAAAAAAAAAAAAAAAAAAAAAAAAAAAAAAAGCCACCACTGCGCCCCGCGAGTACCAGCCAGGCTGCTAGCCCTACACCCGCCATCCCATGCATGGCCGGGGCGACCGTCGACATGAACGCGGAGGGGCTCGGAGCACGCGGAGGGGGCCACGTAGGGCACGGACCACTGTCCTTCAGCGTCGAGTCACTGCTGGAGGCTGAGCGCGTACGGGACTCCGACCCTGGGGAACTGGGGGAGGAGAGGCCGCCGGGTGCCTCGAAGCCCGGAGCCTGGCCCCCACCGGTCACGCACACGTGTCCCCCACGTAAGTGCTCAATGTCCGGGTCTCCAGGCCCTGAAAAGCGCGCGCACATTCAAGGTTAGAAGTCCCGGGGATGATGTGCGCTGTGGCTCCAAACTTAATTACTAGCCACTAGCCGGCCCAGACCTAGTGCAAACTGCTGATGGGATAACAGGTGATGGGAGCCGACAATGTATGTACACAGGCCCAACAGCCACGTCTGCATCTCTTCCCTTTCCCACTCCGCATCACTCACGCCTCTGCATCCCTTACCCACTTTGCCTATGCTTGCCACAGCTGGCTAGTCTGCATATAGCCCTGACCTCTACTCATCCTTAGTAATTGCAGCCTCCTCCCACCCCAGCTTTGCTGTTTTTCCAAGTGGCCAGTCCGCAGTTTCCTAGCGAGGTCTCGGGTTGGGAGGGTAGACCCGAATCTAGAGCACACCCTCTGCCCCTCCATTTCCCTGCCTCTTGCTTTGCTTATCCACGTGGCTTTGGGCTACGCTGAGTGCAGTGGCTACTCTGAGCGGAGCACCAACCATTCTTTGTGGAGAGTGGGACAGTGTCGGGATAGGGGTGTGCAGCCAGGGTTTGAGCGCTCGCCCTGTGCTTCTCTTTCCTTTCAGGTGTCCCCAGCCCTCCACCCTGCACTCTCCGCAAACACAAAAACAACCGCAAGCCACGGACGCCCTTCACCACCGCGCAGCTGCTGGCGCTTGAGCGCAAGTTCCACCAGAAGCAGTACTTGTCCATTGCTGAACGCGCCGAGTTCTCCAGCAGCTTGAACCTCACTGAGACTCAGGTCAAGATCTGGTTTCAGAACCGCCGAGCCAAGGCCAAGCGGCTGCAGGAGGCTGAGCTGGAAAAGTTGAAGCTGGCTGCCAAGCCACTACTGCCGGCGGCATTTGCCCTGCCGTTTCCACTGGGCACGCAGCTGCACAGCTCCGCAGCCACTTTTGGCGGCGGCGCGGTTCCTGGGATCCTAGCCGGGCCGGTCTCGGCTTATGGCATGTACTACCTGTCATAGCCCATGGAACCAAGTCCTAACCTCTTGGGCTCAGGCCTGTGCCACACTTCTGCCCGCCGCTGATGCTCCTGGTAATTTCTGACCTTTAAGTATCCCTTTCATTTATTTTTTCGTTTTTTACTGTTCATATTGTGTTATATTTGATGGCTGGAGCCTATTTGTAGGCATCTTCCAAACATTTTTAACCTTCCTAAAATCATGTTCACACCAAGATGTTTTTTGAAAGACAGTGAAAGACAGCTTCATAATGTCCTTGAAATGAACAGAAGTAGATCTTCCTACTCCGTACAAGGCAGCACCGAGAACTTTAGAGAGGCTCCTTTGGACTGGCATAAGCATTCCATAAAAAGAAATAAAAATAAAAATAATGTAGTAGGACTGCTAGGAAGAAATTTAGAAACCATTACCACTTTAACTAAATGTGGTATGTTGTGACCAAATGGAAACTTTTACAGTTGTTTTAGATTTTACCCCATTGTTTTTATTTAGAGTATACACCATTCAAGGAGCCAGAGGCAAATGCTGCATGGATGGGAGGATGGGGGAGGTGATATGCCCCTGGCACCAAGCACCAAAGTAAGGGTAGCAGCTGAGCAGCTCCTGCTGGAAGGCTGTGGTTGTCACACTGAAGGCAGCAGGCCCGCAGGGACTAAGCCTTATCCTCTTGCTAGCAGGTGCCCAGCCAATAAAGAGAAGAAACTGAGGGTTGAGAGCTTTGCTGTGGGCGCAATAGGTGGAGGGGCTTGCGAAGGTCCTAAAGGATTTGCTGTGAGCACCAGCAGCCCCTGTAATCTCCATGCGCCTTAGAAAAATGGTGGACTTGTAGGAATCTGGACCTCTACCTTTATTTGAGGAAGGAAAACAGACCATCTGAGCTGTCCTGTCCCATTGCCCCTATAGGATTCTCAGCCCTGTCATGAAATACTGAGGCCCTTCGGGTATCTGCTGATGGCACTGGTAAAACCTGTGGCTGTTTCCACAGTAAGCTTCTGCCACAATCTTGAGATTTAAGTCTGGAGTGTGCTGAGGGCTCACAAAGGTCCCCTGGAGTCACAGCCCAGCCACAGATAAGCCCATTCTTTCAGATGCTGCCTTGGAGCTGGAGAGGAAGAACTGGGCTGCAGAGGTGTGCTGGGTTGTGGGGTCTTGAGGACCTTGAGTACCAGGAACTTCACAGTGATGTCCCTAGGTTATTCTGGTTGGGAGGAGGGGAGAGACAGGGCTGTGGTCAGCAGCCCAAGCCAGGACAACTACTCCAGAAAAACTGCTGTCCTGTGACTTTCACTACTCCATCTGCTCCAAATAAAACACAAGAGACGATACTGCATGGAATTGCCTATTGATACCATTAACATTCCTCAGCCCTGTGTTTCTTGGAAAATGGAAACCAGATAGATTTTTGTTTTGTTTTGACACAGAATCTCACCATGTAGCCTTAACTGGCGTGGAGCTTGCTTGTTCTCCAAGGATGGCCTTTGACTCCCAACAGTCCAGTGCCTCTGCCTCCCAAGTGCTTGGATTAAAGGTGCACCACTATGGCCAGCTATGTGATTTTTCTTAAGTTAAATGGCTCAGTTTCAGGGGTGTCAGATGCAGAGAGTGAAGGATAGCTGCAAGGGAGAGTGACTGTCTCTCAGGTGCGTGTACACAAAGAGTCCCTTAGCCTAGGCTGTTTGAACTTGAACCCAGTCCTGCTGCCACTCTCCAGAGGTCAGACTCTCTCTTGGTGGGCAAATAAGGATGTACAAAGGACCTGGTGGAAGCATCCTGATATCTCACCCAGCAGGTTAGCTTCTGACTCACAGCAATCCTGTCTCACCCCACTGAGTCTTGGGATTACAGACATGAGCCATCACACCCAACTGAGTGGCACTGGGCAAACAACAAGCATGTTCAATCACAGCCAGGGCACTGGCAATGCTGAAACTACAGGACAATAAAAATCAAATGTGCATTTCAGGAGAGCAGGTCCCACCCTACCACTTCATAGTGGATCTCTATCTGTGTGGTTGATCTGTATCTGCTGGCCAAGAGCATGTGATGGCCTGGGCCACCAAGGGCTCAGCAGAAACTGCTGGTCAGCTGAGTGGCCAACTTGCTAGTTTGTCTCTCTGACCCAAATACCCAGCCAGGAATATTCTCCTCACATCCTTTCAATGAGCCAGCCAGTCCAATTATGCTCCTGGTTCTCAGACCCCTCCCCCTGAAGGTAGGCGTGGCTCTTGTGGTCTAGCAGGTAGAATGTATCCATACCCTCCCATCATGCCAACAGCTGCTCTTCCTGTTGCCTGGCAGTGTTTGCTTTTTGCTTTCGGGACAAGGCTGAGGCACACTGACACTTTTTTTTGGAGGGAGCTGCCTACCATCCTTCTTACAAAACTCAGACCCCTTCTAATCTCAGCCAGGGCCTGAAGCTGTACACACACCCCCAGTTAAATCCTGAATTCAGATAGCATGGTCTTCGAGTTCAAGGTCTTTAAAGGCCAGAAGTGGCCCAGAACAAGTTGTGAGTGGATTTCCTTATTGTGATGATTTAGATCTCTGGGCCTCTGTCATTCAGCATCTGATGGATAGACTTCTGAATCTGAGTCCTGGCTGCCAGTCTAAGCCCTTTCAGCTGCCAATCCTGGACCACTGAGGGTGGACTTCGAGACCTTCCCTGCCCCTGGGAACTTGTGTCAGGGAGGCCACTGGACAAAGTGACCTAAAGGCTTATCGGGGTGGACCATGCCTTTTGGGGATTGAAATCGGCATAACAAGAAATAGAGAAGTAGTGAAATGGTGTGGACTGCAGATGACCTTGGGTGAGCTTAAGTACAGAGGACTGGACTGTGATTTACCCACCAAGTATAAGTGTCTCATCATTCCCAAAAGGGTGACCTGATGTATTGGATGGGTATGGATGGTCAGAGTATTGCCTGAGCTCTGAGAAATAGCCCTGAGGCCTTTAAGGTCAGGATTGCCTCCAGGGGGTAAGCTAGGGCTCCTGCACTCACTAGCTTCTAAACACAGCTGGCACTGCCCACCTATATCTGCTTTGTCCCCTCTGGGTCTAGTGGGCTTGTCTAAGACCTCCAGTATGGTAACCTGAGGGGATGGGTACTGTGCTGTGGACCACACAGAGGGTGGAGCCTGGTTAGTCCCGCTGATGTTTCTAGAAGGGACTCTTCAGATCTGCCTAGCAGACCCTGGATGACCTAAGATCTGGAGGGCAGCACCTCCTCCTGGGGAGTTCTGCCCCCTGGCCTGTGCTTCCAGTCTTCTCCAGCTCCCAATCTGGTGGTGTTCTTGGGAAGACTTTGACTAATTGGGCCACTGTTCCCTTGAAACATTTCAAATACTGCCATGTTGGTGCTACAGTTTGATAATCTCATTTTTACTTTAAAGAAGTATTGTCTAAATATACACAAGTATTGCTGTTCCTGATGGTCACATTGCATTCTACATTGTGTTTGATTCATTCATTAAACATGGAAAATTCATGCATTAAACATGGATGGCTGATAATAGAGAGAAGCTAAGTTCCAGAGATGGTCAGAGGAGGGAAAGAAATGTCTTCACATTTATGATGCACGTGCTTTAGAAAGCCAAACCATCTTTATTCCCAGTACTCTGGAGGCAGAAGCATGTGGATCTCTGTGAGTTTGAGGCTAGCCTGGGCTACAGAGAGAATTCCAGGACAGGCTCCAAATCAACACAGAGAAACCCTGTCTTGAAAAAAAGAAACCTAAACCACACAACCACAACATTCTCCTACATATTCAAAGGGTGTTATCTTTGAAACTTGATGAGAAGAGCCATAGGCTCATCTCTACTCTGAACATATTTGTTTTTATACAATAGGGACACCTGCTCTAGCAGATGACTCTGGGTCTGATCCAGTACTTACTTTTTTTTTTAAGATTTATTTATTATGTATACAGTGTACTACCTACATGTTTGCCTGCATACTAGAAGAGGGCACCAGATCTCATCAGATGGTTGTGAGCCATCATGTGATTGCTGGGACTTGAACTCATGACCTCTGGAAGAGCAGAGAGTACTTTTAAACTCTGAACCATCTCTACAGCCGCCCCCCCAGTGCTTAGTTTGTTAGCAGCTTTGGGGGACAGAGGTTCAGGACTGGGCTTACACAACAATCTACCTCCAACTCCTAACTTTCTGGGCTACTTGGGGGAGTGTGTGAACACCCAGGTGTATTGGCCCATTTTAGGCTTCTGAAGAAGATGCTTCTAACCTAAGGGACGTTGGCAGTAAGTTTGTAACCACCTTTTCCAGATTATTAAGGTTCCTTTCTGGAGGTGGTTTCTAAGAAGTTATATGAATGGATATTGTGGCTTATCATATGCTTTTTTTCTGAATACATTAAGATAATCAGATGACTTCCTCCTTTAACCTGTGGAGTAAACAGTCATAAGATTTTCCTTTGTTGAACATAGTGATACATAGCCGGGTGTTGGTGGCACACACCTTTAATCCCAGCACTCGGGAGGCAGAGGCAGGAGGATCTCTGTGAGTCTGAGACTAGCCTGGTCTACAAGAGCAAGTTCCAGGACAGTCTCCAAAGCTACACAGAGAAACCCTGTCCCGAAAAACCAACCAACCAAATAAAACAAAAAACAAACAAACAAACAAAAACATAGTGGTCACGCTTTTAATCCTAGCATTACAGAGACAGAGGCAAATGGACCTCTGTAAGTTTGAAGTCAGCCTGGTCCACAAAGAGAGTTCTGGGTGAGACAAGGCTACATAGTGAGACCCTGTCTCAAAACAAACAAAAGTTAAACAAGAATGAAGTTTTTCTTTGTTAAATCAATTGTGGGTTTCTGAAATAAGGAATGGGGCAATCAGAAAGATGAATTAGCATTAAAGGAGAAGCTGCCAAACTTCAGATAACAGACTTTTATATGACACTAAGTAGATTTTCCTACAATGGGAAAAGATGGCCAACGTATCATTGAAAACTGTAAATTTGGTACAGATGAATGTCAAAGAAAGTT